GGGCTTGGGCAGCACTGGGTTGGGATGTTTTCTTGATGTGCACTTAACCTTTATATAAAACTCTTTTACACATGAGTTTCTGTGGATTTGTTTCTCTAAAGTACCCAGACTAAGACAGCCACCTAATGCTGCTGTTAGATTGCTGGGCCCTGCCGAGCAGGCTCCAACTTCTAGGGGCCTAGGTACAGCAGAAGGAAAGACCAGCTGACCTGCCCATCCTCACAACCCTTGCGTGGGAGCCCACTGGAGCTGCCGCGTCAGTCCATCTTGTGGTGGGTCTTCCTCTTCTCTGCTGCCTTTCCACTCTACCCAGCAGTGTCCTTTTCCAGGGACTGGGCCTCCTGGAAACATGTCCGAAGGACAGGAGATGAAGTCTAGTTACCCTCACTTCTTACAAAATAGTTGTGGGTCTCTTTTGTATCTGTAAAAGGAGCCCTGGTGACAGAGTAGGGTACAAATTGGGCTGCCAGCTGCAGAGCCAGCAGTTCAAATCCACCCGTTGTGCCCACAGGGGAAAGATGAGGTGTTTGGCTCCAGAAAGACTGATAGCCTTTCAAGGGGCAGTTCTCTTGTGTGCTGCAGGGCTGGTATGAGCTGGGATCTATTTGAGGAAAGCGAGTTTTGAGATTTTCTTTATATAGATCTCTATTCCCTGGTGAAAGAGCACTGGCAAAGTAGAGGCGTAACAGTTGGGCTGCTAACCACAAAATCAGCAGTTCAAAACCACCAGCTGCTCTGGGGGAGAAAGATAAAGTCCTTCTATCTCCATAAGTTAGTCAGTCTTAGAAACCTACAGGGGGCAGTTCTACTCTGTCCTATAGGGTCACTATGAGCGGGAATTGATTTGACGGCAATAAAGCCTGGTGTTTCATTCTCTGGTGAGGAGCCCTGGTGTACATGAGGCTACACATGGAGCTGACAACTGAAAGGTCATTGCTTCAAATCCACCAGTCACAAAGATGAGTGTGTCTCTTCCCACAAAGATTTATAAGTCTCTAAAGCTCCAAGGGACAATTCTGTTCCATCTTATAGGGTCACTATGAGTCGGAATCAGCTGAATGGCAGTGAGTTTACTCTCTCATTGAACCGGGAATAAAAAGTTGTCAGTTAAAGCAATAGAGTAGTGAGGTCAATGCCTCAGTTGGTAAATGTTCTTAAGTTACACTATGAAGACGAATAATATTTAGGAAGGAGTATAGTCACAGGCAAG